GTGTAAGCAGCTCACCTTGCCCTGCATGAAATATCTCGGCTGAAAGCAAAACCAGCTCCAACCTGGTAAGAATTTTTCCCATGCCTGTGGGGTTTTTTTCAGGTTGTGGCTTACAATTTGGCTTTGTTGGGGGAAGATATTTAGATTAAAAACCACTTTGAAATCAAGAGATCAGATAAAACCCAGAATATCACTGAACAGTTAGTATTCCCTTCCACATGCTCATGGGAGATTACAGCTTTCTCTTCAAACCTTATTTTTCCCTCTAATCAACACTATTTTATGTAGGTGCACACCCTACCTAAGGTGCCAGGCTGCACAGTGTTCTATTGGATTCAGTAATAGACTTAAATTTAGTGATTTTCTGATTGGAAATAACGGCATTTATGCATGTGCCCTTGTACCAACTCCCAAGCCACCACCTGGCTCTCTTGATAATATGATGTTCCTGATGCACAGTATCTCAGAGGTCAAAGCAAAAGGAAAGGTGTTACACAACTCTCCAGAACAAATCCTGCAAGGGGGAGATCTCAGATAGGCACAAAAATGTTACAGCCTAATCTTGAGACATCGTCTGCCGAGTCCGTACACGTTTTAAATGTATACAGCACTCCCTTACAGGTATTACTTGTAGCGGTTACTTATAGCCGAGACATCTGCACTTCTCCAGTATGCTTAGCATTGGGATGTCTGGACACAAGAACAGTGAAAAGCAGTGGACTTATGGACTGAACTGGGGGAAATATGAGCTCATTCTTATCTTTGACATTACATGGGGTTTTTAATGGCTTATGTTACTATGTGAGTCACCTGCAAAGGCAAATACCTAAAGATGGCGATCTAAATCCACAAGCAGCTGAGCACTGGCAGTTGGCTTGTATTCAGAATTCTGCTTCCCCTACAGACCCAAGTTTAAAATTTAATTTCTTGGTGGGTTGATAGTTATATCTGACAATTATGCATAAAGTCTTCTATCAGAGAGGCCGTTGTGAAGAAGTGAAGGCTAAAACTGTGTCACCACAACAGTCTATGTGTGAGCACAGAGTAAGCTATGAGAGCCAGCCTTAAAGTAGCTTGGGTACCAAAACAGACATTAGCCTGTGCTGGGCTCCCTGCTACTGTGGCCAAGCACATCCCAGCAGCCAACCTTACTCCTGCCTCCCTGTACTGCAGCCCAGTCATTTGTGTGACTGCAATGCAAGAGCATGACAAGGCTGGTGCTGCCTTAGTGGAAAGGGAGAGGCTGTGCAGCTGCAAACAGCTGGCACAGCCTGGAACACAGAACTAATGTTAAGGAGCTAAGTCAGCTAATGAGCATTACTGGGGACCAGAACACCTTTAGGCTTCTCCCCTCTCCACCCCCAGATCTGCAGGTCTAAGCCTCTTCCTGTAGCGCATTGCATGCAACTGCACATGAAAGCTTTCAAGAGCTGGAAATGATTTGGTTTGCTTGAGAGGAAAGGTTTTACTAACACTAGCCAGGAACTGTGATGAGATTTTGTTTACCAGGGAACTGCAGGGCTAGAAATCAATGGACCAAAATTGTTGTGACCAGAAATTAGACTCACTTAATAAAAAAAAAAAATTCATTAAGACAAGCTATGCCTCACATCACACTGTTGCATGACTGACTTAACCCTGTTATTTCCTTTCTGCTTTCTCTCAGAATGATCCCTCTAGAATAAAACATTTATGTAGTGTCATTGGTAAAAACTCTGAAAGAGAAAAAAGTACTGGCAGTCCTTTCTGGTGAAGCACTTACTAATAAAAGCTTTAATTCAAATGTTGTTGAAAAACTTAACAGAAAATTATCAAACTACAAATGTGTGCATAAAATCACTATGCAACACCTGCAGCAGTTGCTTTTAAAGAAGCTTTGATGGGTACACTTTACAATAATTCTTTTCCTTATTCCTTCCCCCATAAACATCAATTGTCCCACATTTGCGCTGGTTGTAGTCAAATACTTAAAAAGATTTTCTTACCAGCACCATGCTAGGATTTGTCCTGCAAAACTGATCTGAAGATGAAGTGAGAAGCTTTATGAACTAGCATAAACAATAGCAGGAGTGTATGAAATTGCAGAGCAAGGGGAAAGACAGGAGTAGGTGACTGGATTACTGATAGAGCTGGGGGGCTCTGGAGGAGTGGGAGAGTGCTGCAAAGTATTAGCATCAAGTAAACTCAGTGTAGCCTATGCTAATATGCCTTTCTTCAGAAGAAGGGTAGAGCCCCAAAGCCCTACTCACAGGAATCAGCATAGTGCTGCTGGCACCTCTGACTAATTTAGGCAAATAGAAGAAAGTAAGCCAGATACAAGGACACAATTCTTTCACTGCTTTTATCTTCCTTTCAAACTGATAACCTTGGGATGGCAAATGAGAGTTGGCAGAAGCACCACCAGGCTGTGGTACAGTCATCTGGTTACCTTTGCCGTATGCACATTTTTATGAAGCACGTTGAAGGGGGGTGATTTTTCTTTTCTTCCTTTCCCCTATTTTTACCTCCAAACAGAAATATCCTACAGTTAGTACTCATCCCAGCAAGAATAACAGAACATACATTTGCAGGTAGTGGAGTAAAAGAGCTTTGGTCTACATAGATATATATATGTATGTATGTATTGCTGGCAATCAGCAGAAAGCCTGAATTGTCTGTTTCCTCATAAATGCTCACCCACAAGCTCAGATTTCACCTGAACACACTGCATGGTGCACAAACTTGCCTGCCCCTCAGGCAGAGCTATATAATAAGAGGTTCACTGCCAGCAGACTGAAACTCAGTTTAACACCTATTTGCCCACACAGACCTCAACTAGCAGCAAAGGGGAATGAATGCAGCTGCTGTGCTGCCCTGTTGATCCAGGAACTGATAGTGGGCATTTTTATCTTATTGCAAAGTAAGTGCAAAACACAGAAATCATTACAGTTGTTCCTAGACTGGGAGGCAGAGGTGTGTTGGTGTACAGGGATGTGAGGCTGAGCAAGGGGTATGTAGGATATGCAGGCCAGGGACTGAGCAAGTGGTTCCCTTTGATCTAAAAGCTGAGAGATGCTACATGATCCTACAGTCTGGTCACAACCCTTGGTAGCAGGGAAGGAAGAGACTAAGAAAGAAGAAATCCTCTTCTGACAAGGGAGATGTGCTGTTGCTATCAAAATATAATAATTATAGAAAATCAATAGGTACTGGGATTTTAGTTTTTGAAGGCACAGAGGCCCAGAGCTATGTAACAGTGGTTGACTTAGAATCATAGAATCATAGAATAGTTAGGGTTGGAAAGGACCTTAAGATCATAGAGTTCCAACCCCCCTGCCATGGGCAGGGACACCTCGCACTAAACCATGTCACCCAAGGCCTCGTCCAACCTGGTCTTGACTTCCACTGCAACTTGTTTCAAACTGGAGTTTTAAGAGCACCGTTCTTTATGCAGGTCTTTCTTTCAAATTCAAAGAATGGCTGGGACTAAGTTGCATTTAAAGCTTGACTACAAGTCATTCATCTCTATGTCCCACATGTTTGGTAGACAAGATCTCATTGCATTACATTGGGTTTTGCCTTTCTGATTTAAGCAATAGCAGATCTTTCCTAGGAAACCAACAGAATTTAACCAGTGCTGAATTTGAAATGACATCAAAGAAACTTTTACAAGGAAAAAAGAGAAGAAATCCTTTGATTAAAGTTACCAGCTTAAAATGATTTGTTCACAGTTCATCTACGGAAGGGAAAGCCCCCATAAAAGCAACCTACAGTAGAAAGTGTATGTGTATAATTTGAATAGGTGCCATTCAAAGCCAGACAGAGAAAATGAGAGGCTACATGCTCTTCAAGCCCTAACCTCAAGCCTCAACTGCTTCCAATCTCAGCGCAGCTGGAGGCTTCTTGCTAAATTTACAAGAGTAAAGCAGTGAACAACCAGGAAAATGAAAGCAGCGTAATGAGACTTCAGGTTTAGCAATCCAGGGCTGAGAGCAGAGCAGCTCACCACCTCTTTGAGACCAATCTCAATAAGCATCACAAACCCAGTCAAAATAGAGATGTCACTAAGTGGTTCCATTTCTGTTTGGAAGAGTTAAACAGCCAGAATTGTATTTAATTGTACTTTTGAAAGAGAGCTACAAACTGGCTACAGATTTGATTTGAAACTGAAACGCTGTGTTCTGGTTTGTTTTCTGGGTGTCTATAAATGTTGCACTTCTAAGTGAATTGTAAAAAGTATTGGTGAAACGTAGCAAAGGTTTTGAGACAACTTCAGTGAAGCAGTGCTGCTGGATCAGTGAGGTTATGGCACATTTCCTGAAGGACAGATTAAAACATTGGGTAGGACTTCCCCCAAATGCCAAATCCTGTTGACATTCTAGATTATCTAAGCATATCTCCCTGCTTTGAAAACAACAACAAAAAGCAGACAATTCTGAATATTTTTGCCTGTTTAGACTTCAGTTTATCAAAAAAGCTCCATTTAGGGTGATATTTCTGAAGTGGGTATTGAAAAAAACCTGAGGCTCCCCACTTTCTCATGAAATGAATACCACGTGTTAGTCACCCTTCCCAGCTCTATAAAAAATAAAGTCATAAATCTTTCTGGCATCTCTGTTCACTCTCCTGATTACAGTATATAGCACTGATAGACAAAGCAGGCCTTTTTTGCTAAGTTGCTGTCTGGAGAAGCTTGTGAGGGTGACTGTAGTTATGTAGATAAAGCCTCTAACTCCACATTACTATATAGTGAGAAAAGAAAAGAAATTAAGAGCTGTCAAAGTGTGGAGTACAAGATACACCTTGCATTAGCATTTCTGAGCTAAAGAAATGGGCTAGCAAGATTTAGGTGGCATACTATTCTGCATTCTATTAAAAAAGTATCATTATCATTAGAGAACATTTAACATAAATCCTTCCTACGGATTCCCTGCAGGAATAAGGTGGCCTAGCTATCAAAGCCTTGATTTATTCAATAAAACATACTCCTTTTTCCTTTAAAATGGAGACCGGGCACCTACTTCTACCATCTCCATGGTTCAGCTGCCACTGCACAAATGTTCCTTTATAGCCAAGGAGTACCTGGGCACTACTGCATGTCCTTATGTACAATGGTCTCCATTCACATACCTGGTGAGAAAGAGCAAACAAAGACACAAGCAATGGCTAAACACACAGAAACTTATGCAAACTCCCACAGACCATTTCCCCACCACCACCAGGATTTTCACGTAACAACCTGTTTGCAGACACATGGAGGAAGTCAAAACAAGAGCAGGATTTGCTGCTTTATCTCTTCTCTTTGCAGCCTTGCTGGAGAGAAAGGAGAGAATCAGGGTCTCACAATGTATGGCTGTAAAAACAGCTTTACTTGTTCTCCAAATGTTTTTGCTTCTCATTTATGGCTCATGAAAATGCTGTGCCAGATACACACGTTCATCTCTCATTCCTTACATGGTGCCACCAGGAGCATGAATGCTCCTTAGACCTATTGAACATCTGTGGTTTGGGGCATGTTGCGCAACAGGGGCAATCCAGCAGATCTTCTGGATCTGGTCCAAGTCAGAGATTCCCCCTGGCAGCACACCTCTGTGGTGATCCTTGGGGTGATTTAAAATAACGTGTATAGAGTGAGGAGGTCTTATTTATCAGCATTTCAGTGAGTACCAACCTAACTAACGATCCCTAAATTAGATGTTCAAATACCCCTCTGGGGTCAGGGAAACTGTTCAGTTGAGCAAAGCTTGTGCACGAGAACTGCAGCGTAAGATCCTGCTAATTGCAATGAGAGCAGACTTGGCCCAAAGGAAGAGATGTACCAAAAGCATTTAAGATTCTTAGGGCAGGAATTGTGTCCTTGTGTGAAATCACCTGTAAAGTATTCTCCAAATACAGATATGCAAGAGGAATGAGTGAAACACAAGCACTGGTGGCATCCAGACAATATAGCTATCACCCAGCAAGCAGGCTATCATCTTACTTTCTCATACCCAGTCCGCTGTGTTACAGCCCTCCTTTAACATTAGCGCACCAATTCTTCCAAAGGAGGCCTTCCACCAACTGTGCATCAAAAACTTGCTTTGTGAAAGTTGTGATGCTGTTTCTGATACAGAAATCAGAAACCCAATGGGGAGAGAAATGCAGCTGAGGAATGACATTGCTGTAACATGTCTACTTTTTAGTGCATGACTCTGATCAGCTCATAAATAGCGCACACTGAAGAGCAACATCAACAGATGTTCACCACTGACTCTTTAAATGCACATTACCACAACAGATAGGCTGGATGTAACTGCATTACGAACTGGAACAGAGCACTTCCATTCCCGCAGCTTTCACAACATGGCTATAAGAAAATAAATTGCAGCGTAGGAAAGTGGCAAGTTGGGGTCTGTATTTAGAGGAGGAGGAGGCGGCAGATAACTGCGTGAAACATTTAGTGCTTTGCGCTGAGAGTGTGTTACGCTGTGAAACTCTGCCCTGTTTTTCTCTAAACAGCTATGCATAAAACAGCAGCCTGTCTTAATGCACTCCAAACACAGACCCTCTCCGATTTAAATACACCTAAACCTTGTTTATGAACAGCATCTTTCTGCTTAAGATTAAAAAGCATCCTAAGTATTAATCCTGCATTCTTCCCTGGGTTTAAAGGAAAGAAAATACGTAGCAAAAAAAGATACTCACTAACCAACATCAGTGCCAGGCTGGCTACAGAATTGCTTTCTATATGTCTCTGATAATTCAAGCATCATTTGTACTTGGGAAGAAATGTGAATGGTTGGTTACTTTGAGACAATACTTGCCTCTCTGCCTTTGGAAACCATTTGTGCTCTTAAATCATTTATCCCTGGTACTGTGCTCAGTTGATGGTACCGTACATCAGCTCATCTCGAAAGAGAAGAGCTATATAAAGTTCTTTGAGTAGCACTTCCCCAGCACAGGACTCTCACACCTTGTCCTGTGGCTGTGACATCGATACAATCCAGCACCCTCTTTGCATTTACCAAACCTCAGGGAAAGCTGGCAATTTCCATTTGCCCCCTAAATTACCAGACCTACTTTCCTTTAAAAACTCTGATCCTTGCATCCCTTCCCACCCCCTCATACACTGCAGTTTCTATAATCGTCACCTTATGTAAGAGACCCAGAACCAGGAACAGTTATTTATCAGTGTTTGCGTACCCTCGCTTTCTCCCTGGAGAGCACCAAAATAGCCTAATAGATCCCTGTCTGATCCACGTGGGCCACTGCACATCCTTGTGCCCAGTGGCATCTGCCATCACCTGGTACCAACTGTCCCCATAAGGGGAGTGATGCTGAGGACACAGAAAACAGGTTCATGCTGCTGGTACCATAAGGACTGTGCTCCAATGTTCCCCCTCTGCTCATGGCAGAGGTCCTGTGTGACACAGCAGGCAATGGGGTACCCTGCTCCACTTATGCTCTGGGTTTTGCTCAACGGGAAAGATACAGGAAAACAGGAGGGAGCATCCATGGCCTCAGAACCACTGCAGCACACAAGTGTGCATGCAGGCGGAGAGCTGGTCTGCCTTCTGACTTCACCCCAGGAGCCCATTCCTCTCTTTTGTTGTTTGCCAGTCGATTTTCAGGTGGCTCTTTTGCAGCATTGTCACTCAGCTGGTTTCTAACTGACCTGGCAGGTTTTTACTGCTCTCTTCCTGCTTGCTGGCAGAACAACAAAGTCTGGGGGATTTATGCGTCCCGGCTCCCACACAGGAGCTGTGAGCAAAGCCTCCTCCTGAGGAGAGGAAGTTTTTGCTGACAGATGCTTCTGAAGTGTCCCTGTGTATTTAGGCCCTGATCCATCAAAGCACTGGAGCTCAGCCTTAGGCACATCCATATTACTGTCACCAGGCTATGTAAAGTAAGGTTGGTGTTTAAGTCTTTTGTGGGCTTAAAGCTTCGGTTTATTGTCCTGGCAGCTCATGCAGTCATTATGTGGCCTACAGTGCTCTAGGTTGATGATTTACAGAACAGCAAAAAAAAAAAGAGTTTGCAGCATGCACGTATTTCTGCAGTGTACAAGAACAGAATAACTTGCTTGATCCATTCTAGGGGAGGGCTTTTACAAGGAAACATGTGTTTACCCTTTGTACTTTCATCACAAAGTTTATGGACCCAGTACAATTTTCCCCTGTACAAAGCACCAACAGGCCGGAGCTGCTCCAGAGAAGCCCTGTTAGTGCCTGTTGGACACCATGCAGGGTGCTGGAGCTGGCAGCAGCCTTACAGAGATAGATACCTTCTCCAAGATGTAGTCACTGCTTCAACCCACTCCTTGTCTTGCTGATTTGTTTCACTGCAAACTTTTGTTTGTTTTTAAAATCTCCATTGACTTTGTCACAAGAAGTTCCTTTGTGGAAAGCAGATGGGAACTAGTGTTATTCCAGAAAGCTGGAGGGGTTTCTAAAGAGGCCAGACAAGGTTGTCAACAATCATCTAGTTTGCAATAAAACCACTTTTCTGTTTTAAAACAAGAAAAAAGTTTGGGTTTATTGTATAGAAACCTCAACTTCTTATCAGCGAGCAGACTTTGGTGCAGACAAACCAGCACCCAAGCTTGAGCTTTGCATTACTGGCATCCTCCAACAGCTTTATTCTTTGGGCAAGCCATTCCTTCAATGAGCTGCTTTAGCATGGTGCTCTCAAAAGCTGATCATCCCTGCCCCGTGCCAGACCACCTTCCTTCTGTTTCTCTCCTTTTTTCTGCAGAAATGAACCCCAAAGACTGTACAAGCCAAATTAAAAGACCTTATTTTAATAACTTGCCAGCCAGACAAAATTAGTTTTGCTGATAAGGGAAATCCACTTGTTTTCTGAAAGAGAGATGGGAAACAGCCATGCCAGCTCAGGGTATCGCACGCAGCCAGGACTGGAAATAGCAGCACTCAACCCCAGAGTTCATCTGTGAGCCACTTCTTCAATAAAATAACCCAAACAATTTCCTGATGCTTCCCTAATTGCCTCTCTCTGAAGTTCTTCTCCTCCCTCTTTGGCTTTTGAAGAAGAGTAGTGCAAGTCCCTTTCACCTTTCTTCTCTTCAAGAACTACGTTGCTCTTACTGACAGGGTTGAAAACTCACCTCAGGTTTTTGCTAAAGAAGTTAGGCTTCTTGACTGTATTATTTGCTCACCTTCCACAGTGCTGCCATATAGCCATAATCAATAAATAGACTTTTTTACATTTGAAATGTAAAGCTGCCTGGTGTCATCATCACATAATTTGTGTTATAATAATGCTCGGTTTTCACCTGACCTTTAGAAATCAGCAGATTCAATTACTTGTAGCATTTGCTGAAGATCCTCCAGGGATCTCACCATAAATTATACTGTATTCTACAAATAGATATGACAACACTAATCAGCAAATTAAATGACAGTGATCATTCCTGCAGAGATACTCAAACATCTGATTGAGCTGGTACATCAGAACTACGCAGCCCACAGCTTCAGTCTGCAATAGATACTGTTCTCATGCATAGGAAATGCTGACCTTGCAAGCAGGAACCTGTAGGTTACTTAAGATGCCTGATAAAAGAAGAGAGAAAAAGGCTGATGCCTCCAAGCAAATGATAATGGACATTGATGGATGGTGTCTCCAGTCCATTAATATTTTGCTATGATGTTGCCACCCATTTGATTTTACACAATTATTTCCAGACTGACCAGGGCTGTACACTTTCTAATAGCCCCTTTTACCCCAGCAGGAGAGAGCTGTTACTGCCCCAGCGCCAAGATGCTGCCTCCCTCCAGGCAGCCCTTGCCAGATGGACCTAAGGCAATAATACCTCCTGGAGGTATACTCAGTAGCCTACTTAACAGCCATTTCACAGTGGATGAGGATCAGACCTTATCCCATCTCCACCCTCATTGCCCTGTCAAGTTGCAGTGTCTTTACTTGTCAAAATCATGCTGCTGCACTGTGCCCCATGTGTTGCCTGCACAGCATAGTGAGAGCAAAAATGCTGAGCAGAAAGGAAGACTTTCAGTGCAAAAGACCTTCTACAGGTCATAGAACAAAGGAGATCATAGCTGGGACCAGGCCTGTAAACCTTCGGCAGAGAAAAACGTAGAGGAACCACAGGCCATGGCGTGGCTTTGCTGGGAAGGTCAGCCACATGAGCACCGAGGCATGTTCTGTACTTGCAGGCAGTGTCACCTTGATTCAGCCCCATCCTCAAGCTTTTCATTAGAGGCAGGAGCTGCAGGAGGTGGGGGCAGCGTGGAGGTGAGAGGTGCGATTACATCCTCTACCACAAGCTGTTATTTTGACAGCTCTATTACAGTCATATAGAAACAACTCCTGGGAAGTGTAAAGCACTGCAAAAAAAAGTCAGGGAAATCAGCTGTCCTGCAATATGCCAGCTTTCACTGAGGAACAGGACTAGACGCCAATGAGGAGATAGTGATGGGCTCTTTCTCTGGCTTTTTCTTTGGCCATAGCTGGTTACTGTTCACCTGAAAGCCACCATGTCTGCTCTTACTTCTGTCTGGTTATGGATAGAATCATAGAATAGTTAGGGTTGGAAAAGATCTTAAAATCATCTAGTTCCAGCTCCCTGCCACAGGCAGGGACAAAAATCCATCTGATGTTTATTTCATAGCAGCCCTTTATCCCAGCAGATTCATTTTTTCATATGAACATGAAGACCTCAGCCCCAGCTGAGGGGAAGGGACAAACAGCCTTTTCATGAGCTGCCTTTCTTAGAAAAAAGCCAAACAGCTCATCCCAGGATTCACTAGCTATGCTCAGTTGAACTTTCAGCTCTGCTTCCATGTGAAGTAGTACAGATTGTAGAAGACAGTGCAGTGATTTCCTACCCTGAGTGTCACTGATACCAAGTCCTCATGTGCTGTGCATGTCCATGCCAGGACTTCAGTCACAGCTTTTGTGAATGCAGATGCATTTTGTAGTTTAACAGAGGTGTCACATCTTGTACAGACCAAGACATCTCAAAAGCCACAGCAACCATCAAAGAAGCATGACACAGTCTGCAGCCACCTCTGCAATAGCAAATAGAGCCACATGCTCAGCCCAGCACATGGCTACAGCAAGGCAGCCCTGCTGGGACCCAAACTACATTCTCCCACCATTCTGCTCCTTTGGAAGCCTGTATCACCACCTGGAATGGTTGGTCACCAGAAGAGCTCTTTGCTCTGCACACCTGTGGGTGATAGAGATCCAACTTCCTAATCCAGCAACGTGCTGGGAACAGATACATCCAGTCAGTCTAACAGCAAAAATTCAGTATTAAATGTCTTCTTACTTTTCTTTCTCTTATAACCTGCACATAGTGCTTCATCAGATAACCCAGTGTGAACAATGCTGCTCATTTATATTGCCTCCTTGGCATCCTCCAGAAACATGTATGCAGTTTTCTTATTTACCATTCCTCCCACGTTGGGGAAAGAAAGCTCAGAACTGCTGATGGAGGAGATTCACACTCCCTTCCAGCTCCTGGTGGCAGTTGCTCAACAGCAACAATTTGTAAGGCAACATGAGAGGCAAATGTGTATTACAGAGCCCTACACAGAAGAAATGCCTGTCAAGTACTCCAGAAATTCATTGTGACTTTGGTACATTCTTGTTTGACAAGAGGTATCCTGTAAAGTTTAGATTTCATCTCTCATTATTGCAAATTATTCTCCCAGCTGAGGTGCCTTTTCTCTTAGGCAATACACTGCAAATTGGTGCTGCACTCTGGCAGTCAAGGGAGGCTCAATCAGCATCTCCCTTCTGTCAAGGGAATGCCTTTGAGGGCTTTGCTTTGCACCTGACACTTCTTGTGAAGGGGCCCTCACAGCAAAAGGGAAAGCTTTCAACCTAAGGAGCAGCACCCGAGTGCTGCTAGCAGGAAGCATCCTCACTAGCATCTTAGAGAAGCTTTAACCACTGCATAGACTGACACACTTAATCCTTTTTTTTTTTCACTTGTAAGTGAAACCAGTAACATCATCAAATGCTTCCAGAGGAGATGAGGGTGCAACAGACGTAATGGTAGGAAGCAACACTGCATCCTGCTGCAACAACTCTACATGCCAGCAGATGGTGATTTCAATTTAAACCAAAATATGATTCCATTCATTTGTACTTTCACTTACTTACCCATAAGCATTCAAAACCTACATGTCTGATGCTGGTATCCAGGTTGCACTACCAGGAGCTTTCATGGTGCCATGGAGGATAAATTACAATCACTGCAAAACAACCCAACTTCTCCTTGAAATGGTGAACATGCCTTTGGAGCTACTACTTATACCCATCTGGAACTGATGAGGGTCAACAGCTCCACCCTATCCCACATATGAGTCATCAGAATTGACTCACTCTCCCCTATCTCCTTTACCAGGTGGCCTCAGAAGGTTCCTGTAGGTATGTGGTGGCTCTTCCTGCCCTGCTAACATATGTGCCAAAAGTACATGTCTTGCTGTTGCCCTCATCCTGTCACTTGCTCCTTCTGGTGCTTTGACACCCAGGTATTCCCATTCACACTTGTCCTAGTGCTTCTACTGCCACTTCTGCAGGTGTGCACCAGGCCTGCAGCACCACCAGCAATTTCATCCCATGGAGGGCTATGCTTTGGCGTGGATCTGCTGCTTCTTTAGGTTATCCTGTGCTATTGCATGTTAGTCAGATGCTCAAATGTAGCATGTTGATGAGGTGGGTGTATGTCTCTTAGGCAGAAGTTATGATTTTGCTGCTAAAGCAGGCCTAATAAAGAATGAGGCTCTGTGCCCACTTTTGACTATCGAACCCACATTGCACAGCTGGAGAAGCCATACAGATAGCTTCTGCTATGCTTAAGCACTACATCTGTAGTGACATTATCATTTCACTTCTAACAACACACTTCCAAGTGCTGATGCCACCTCAGCTGATGGCACTGTCACCACGTTGAAGTGCCTTCAGTGTTTTAGAGTGCCATAAAGTGGCACTTGTGGTCTCAAAGTTTCATTTTTCATGTGTACCTGCTGGTAAACCCTGATTCCTTCCTTCCCAAACTTGCTTTCCTTGGAGCCCTACAGGAAGCTACAGTTTTGCTAAGGAGCACTATCAGCCTCTGTACTCCTCACAGGACAGCTCAGGTCTGTGGGCTCCTGTGGGCTCCTGTTAGGGTAGGTCTGACTATGCCTCATGGGGAGTAGTGGCCTGTCCTAGGGATTGGTTTTTTGAGTACCTGTGAGGAAAGTACTTGTATCCAAGCCCCACAGAGGATTGCAAACACACTTTCTGTCCGTCAGGAAGGTGATATAATCTTGCTTGTAGAGGATGGTACCACTAACTACTTTGCTAAACTGAGGCAGTTATCCTTGCACATTGGTCTGGACTATACGAAGAGAAACTGCTTGTGTTGAAGTGCAGCAGTTCTGCTCAGCCCAGACGTGCATTGGGAATCACAGCAACTCAAGGACATTTTTAGCTCTCTGCTCTGTCTGCACCACCTTGGTGCAGTTTGCCAAGGATGGAGAGAAAGGCTCGGAGTCCCACAGGAACAGAGCTCTTTCCTCTTCCTTGCCTTGTTTGTCCACATATTTTTAAGGCAGCACTTAGTCCTCTGGGGCCACAGGCTTAGTCAGGGCTTTGTGGGAGGCTTGTTGTACAATATGAATATAGTAAAAGCTACAAATAAGGCTGTTTGCTTTCTCCCTTCCCCCTTTCCTGTGTCCTGTGTCCTCTGCATGGGTATGGAAGCATTGTTTTGAATGTTTTTACAGCACCTCTTGCATCTGGGAATGGTTAGAGGGAAAATCAAGGTGGGACAGGTGTTTTATCAGTGAAACACCACAGAGAGTTGCGTTTGTCATGAGCTGGAGTAATTAAAAGTACTTTGTGCATGTTTTGGATGAGGGATGCTGACTTCAGTCAGGGCATGAGCTGTGCAAAGTGCTTATTTTTATAGTTTTGACGTAAATCCTGGAATGTTTTCATTCTTAATTTGGAACACTTGCCCCAAAATGTTCCAAGTCTCTGTAGATAAGTCCAGGGTTTTCTTCTTCCCGATGTACATCCATACACGTTAAAGTCCCAGACTTGATTGCCCAAGTCATTTAGGCAGACTGAACACAGGACCAAGGCATCTTTTAAAAGCAGTAACTTCCAGGTGCTTTGACAGACCACTGATCCCAGGTGAGATGCACAGTTTGGCTATCTAAAATCTATCTCCTTCTATGCTGAAGTGACATGGGTCATGTGCTTAACAAAACAAACCCAACCTCCTGCCAACCCAGCACATACACAAAAATAATTTCCTTGGTTATATTTTCCCCTAGGGAGGTTTAAACTGTCAGCTTTGCTGAGCTACATTCACCCCTCTCATTCTTTCTCATGGGGGATGTCCTGCCACGAGGGACTCATTGCAAACTCATGTTTTGAAATTTTCCAGAGGATTTAATATTAATTCACATACAAGAGACTTGCAAGATCTTTCTTTTGAATTGGTCATACGCTACCAATAGCTCCCAGAGCTGGTTTTGTTCAGCTTTGACAACTAGAGCAAAATATAGTCAATGCAAACACTCCTGATCTCAGGATAACATGGACTTTCATTTTTCAGGTCAATTGCTGTCTCAGGATATGAGAACGTGATTGTAGGCTCACCAGCAATGAGACCCATTTCAAATCAAACCACCTTATTCGTATCACTTAGTGTTGAATGAGTTGATCTCTGCATTTCCAGTTGTATCCTCTCTTGTTCATGGAAAGTCCATTTTGGCAACCCACAATAAATTCTTGACAACAGCAGCACACATCTCAAAACTCTAGAAGTGAACACAGGAAAAGTAGAAGCTTTTTGTTCTAATCTAAGACATTGGCTAGCATCAGTTATTGTAATGGATAGCAACATAGATCTGTGAACCCACAGGGCCTGTCTCATGATACACAATTAAGAAAAGGGTTTCTCACTTGTGCAGTCTCAGCTGTCAATCTGTCAATCTCTGCAGCCACCCACAGTCAGAAATAACGGTGTGAGATCACTGCCAACACCCTCATGTTGAAACTTGGGGTTAGTAGTTGATATCCATGACAATCCGTCTGTTAAAATCCACTGGAATCCAACTCTCAAAACACTGTAAATGATTAATAATTAAAAGCTGTCTATATAGGAACCTAATGTGCCAAAACATCGGGTAGAACAAGCAACTTCACACAACAATTTGCATTATAGCCTTTTCATCAGTTACAGTAAAGAGGATGGTGCAATCACAATTTCATTCTTACATTAATATGCTTTTGGGTCTTTTCACTAACACGTGGCAGAAGTATCTCTGTGGCAATAGAAGGGGTCTTGGCATACCTGTGCCTAAATGGTGTGTCAATGCCTGCTCTTCTTGCCTTACAAGTCTCCCGTAGGGAAAGCAGAGATTTAGCCTGGATCCAGCTGCTGTAATGGTGAGCGCCTGGCTGTCAGCATGCCTGAATAGGCTCCATCTGCAGTCAAAGCCTCAGTGTGCTTCCCATGGAAAGCTGCCTGGTAAATTGATGTGATTTATTGTAAGGCAAGTCCCGCTCCTGCTGTAACTGGTGGCAGATCCCAATTTTGCCGGGGAAAGCAGGATGAGACACTGTTGGCTAATGCCTGTATCTCTGATGTGCTAGCCAAACAAATAGTCCAGGATAGACAGTTGTATAGTAATATCCTCCGTCCCTTTCCCCCCCATTTATATAAATAACTCATGTTTTTAATCGATCATCTGTCTTCTACAGCTCCCTGTGTTAGTGGTTTTGTGGCCTTCACTGATCCAGAGTTGCTAACTTTGATTTTACTACAGGGGTTACAATGTTTACTGGGTTTTTTTTGGAAGCATCATCTCCTAGAGCCGTGTGAAAACAGTTTCCTCTCACAGCTCAGGAAAGGTCCCACCTCTGCTGCTTGCCAAGGGAGGTGCAAGGAATGTCCCAGTTGGGTTTTGAGTGGGGGTTAGTACTGAGGAATAAACCGGCTCCTGCCCTACTTCACACCACTGGTCCGTCACCCCACAGCGTACATACTACACTGATTTACACCATGCTGACAGGCTTACATCCTTACAAACCTGGCCCCAGTTCTCAGGACTGTTACAAGAAATCAGTTTGAGTGGCTGATACTGACTGCTGATGCTCCAGCACTTGCATTTCTCCAGGCATTCATACCATCTGCATCCACAATGCTGCTGGGTTGCTGAAAGACAGCATGGTTTGGACGACATCCTCCTCTTGGCTCAGGGCAAGCACAGTCTTATTTTCATTCCCCTATGTGAAGAAAGCAGATCTGGTGGCAATTTAAGGATCATACATTATCATAGGCTACAGAAAGAATAATTTATGCCCTTGAGCCCTTCTCAGATCTTTCAGCACAATCAGGCATCTAAAGGAAAATCTAAGTTCTTTGGAGAGCCTCAGGGATGAGTAATGTACCCGAGAGAACTTGGGGTCCAGACATGAAGGGATTAGCATGATCCACCAGCATGGTTTTGTCATCTGAGACAGACTCAGGCACATACTTCATGTCTCCTTGTTTCATAATAGCCATCTGGACATGAAAATGGGGGAATATGGGAGCAAGTTTCATGGCTGTGGTTTGTCTTCTCATGGGCAATACATCACCTTTGGCTTTTGCAGAGGACTGAGGGATGCGTTTTTTGCTGTAAGCTTACACCACTCCTGTTTCTTTCCAATACCCATTACCTGTAGCTCTGGAAGAGGGGGAATACTCCAGTAACACTTAACCCAATATGATCACAATCATCCAAAATGCAAAATGCTTTTATGCAGGGTGGAGCTTGCTGCTCTGTTGGGTACCGAGTACCGAGTACTCCCCCGGGATTTTGTTGTATTCATACAAGGAGTCACTAAGGCAGCTTTGCCTCTGTTGGCATTTGCCTTCTGCCTAATGTTGATATCCCTCCACCCTTAAAAAAGGCACCCCAAAAGCAGTCTGTTAATTGCTCCAACTGGAACAGTTCTCTACAGTTCCTGAACGTGTGGCAGTGGGCAATCACTGTGAAACAGTTGACTTAATGCAAATCTAAGAGGATCCAGGGATTAAAAACCTAAATAAATACCCTCTTCCCCTCCCACAAGAACAATACCACCCTGAATCCATGTGAATGCAGAGTTTCCAGCCCAGCTCCCTCCCTGAACATCTGACAGTTCATTTTAAAAGAAAAAGGAAAAAGCAGAGCAGAGGGTTCCCTGGTGAGCTGTAAGACCTCCAAAGGACTTTTGGCAGCATCT